CAATGCCACCAAATTATAGTGCATCACATCGCATCGCTTTGCCAATGCAATACTGATACACTGTATCAAAGAATCCGATGCGGGGCCCCGCATCGCTCTTGCGATGTGATGCAATAAAGGCCCAATACAATGTGATACCAATGCATGCATCACATCAGTTACATTGTTGTTGGCAACCTTTCACAAGAAACTGAAGGCGTTTATCAGCAGCTTATGAAGGATTCCTTTGTGGAGAAACTAGTCTTCAAACCCTACCTATTTTGTTTTGAGGATGTTTTCAAATGCACAGGTCCCTTTTCTTGAAAATTGTGGGAGACATTGGACATCATAATCAATACTTTTTAACAAAGAAAGACAGCCTTGGCTGACCCGGGTTAAGGTCCATCCAAGAAATTTGCTTGGCTATCTACATGCTTGCTTATGGAGTGCCTCTCTCAAGGGTCTTTCCAAGTTCTGCTCTGAAATAATTGGAATTTATGGTACAGAATACCTCCATTCTCCAATGGATGAAGACATGACACAAAATTGAGCCAAAAACAAGGAAGAAATTGATTCCCAGGTATGCTAGGATTCATTGGGGCTGGAAAAACTGTCCAGCTCAGTGGAAAGGCCAGTTTTGAGGGAAAGAAGAATTAAATACCCTTTTTCATTCTTGCAGTTTTGATCAATCGTGGCTGATCTTTACATTCTCAATTCCAGGGCCATCATTATCCTCAAGGCTGTAGCTTCAGAGCATCTGTGGTTCTGCCATGCATTTTTTGGCCGGCCTGAATCCCATAACAACATCAGGGTCCTCAATTCTTATCTGTTCACCAATATTCTCAATCCTCCACAACATGATTGTGGAGGATGAAAGAGGATCAAAGCCCAATGTGGAGTATGATGGAGCTACTGCAACTCATAATTTGGAGCCAGCACAGAACGGAGTGGCCAACTTCTCCCAATTTGTGAAGAACTATCAAGCAATACAAGATGAAATAGCAAGCACTTGTAGGCAGTGAAAGGCCAAACATAATGAGTGTTACCTTCCTCACTTAACAATCTCCAAATACAAATTATATATAAAAAACCTCCTATTGGATGTGTTTGCTTGCCATCAGTTGTGTTTTCTTGCTATCCGTTGTTCTTTTTCACTGTTGGTTTTTTGTTCTCTCTACCAGCTGTATTTTCTGTTTTTGTTGATTTATTTCACAGCTCTTTCTGAATAAAAGTAGGATTCTCCCTATGTTTCTCATTTTCAAGCAGTAAAAGTATTTTCATTTGCAGACAAAGAACAAGACGAGCGCTTGAGAAGTGAGAAACTGAATGAAAGTGGAGAGAAACAAAACGAGTGTAGCAAGAGTGAAGGAAAAAAAAAGTGAATATCGATGTTTGAGTTAAGCTAGAAAGATAACTACGGGTGAGGAAGCTGTTAGACACCTCCACCTTACTGCTCATCAGACTGAATCTACTTGCTCCTCATCTTCCTTGGTTGTACTGCCTTCATCCTCTTCTTCAACAATCTCTACAAAATCTTTCTTTTTGCCTTCACCTTCCTCGATACCCTCGGGAAGATCTTTGCTGAGTGATTCACCTTCCTTTGTTTGACTTTGCTACGTCCTTCCCAGAAGCTGTTTTTTGTTTCTATGATGTTAGCTTTCTTTTTTTTTTTTTGCTGCCGCCGTCTTTTTACGTGCTGCTACAGCTGCAGTCTTTCTTGCTTGGGCCATCGGCTTCTTAGCCGCTGGTGCGTTTTTCTTCACAGGAGCGGCCATTTCTGTTGACGCCATTGGTTTTTTTTTTGCTGTTGGATTCTTTTTTTGGCGCTTGTCTCTCTTCGCCTCCGGCTCGTGCCCATCTGCCCGGGGGCACTTCGCGGGGAGGGTCGCGCTTCGTGCTCGGCAATGCTCGCTAAGTGAACCAGCCACATGCCTCCCACCGACGAAGGACGAAGCTCGAGTCATGCTAATGTCGGCTTCATTTTGGAAAGCAACGCCCGGTTGACCCATCGTCTTCGGCATTCAGAGGTCTGTGCGGTCTTGAGGGAGACAGGGACATCTTTGTATTTCAGATGGAGAGATGGGTTACATAATCAGGAGACAGTCCCCCGAAAGGGGCTCGCCCCGCCGGGTCGGTCTCTATGTAATCTCTGTCTTATCGGGACTACTCACGCTGGGAAAAGAATCAAGCGTCCTTCAACAACTAATTGTATCTTGATACCAGAAAACACTTCGACCGATTCGACGAGGATTTTGCTGATAGCTGGATAACACGAAAAAAAAAAAAATCCCAGATGGGTCTATTCGCATTTGTCTCATTCTTGGTGGTGTAAGTTCCAAAAATCGAATCCCACTATCACATGAAAAAAGGAGAATATTTTTAAGAACAAAAGAGCTGATAATCCCTTTCTGGTTTACCTTCTGCAAAAAATTATTCAGTACCACGCTGGGCACCCTCTATCCGATCTATCTCTCGTATAAGGCCATCAAAAATAACGACCTCCAATCGCTCGAAATTCTGCTAATGTTTTGGGTCGTCATGGGCACCATTAACGCCATCGAGTATGCCTTTGGATGGTTTCTACATTGGTTCGATCCCCCGCTTTCATTGGTCCGGATTTACATGGCTTGCCTTGATGATTCACAATTCTCATTGGTTGCTATTAGACTGACTATGGCTTCTTATCCGTTCTAACATTTCACAGGATCCCGTTCTTTTATCAATTTAAGAGCGCATTCATCTTATGGCTTACCCTCCCACAAATACAAGTTGAGCCTCAAAGTCCTACCAAAATCTTGAGACCAGAAGACCTCTCCATCCCCCAACAAAAAAAAACAAAACAAGGAAGAATACTGTGATGATTATGGCTGACAGCTCTCAACCATCTGTTTTGGCTTTCGTGTTACAGGGATCTACATACGTCTATGTCACCTACATCCATCCATTCTTGCTCGAACACGAAGTCGAGATCGATCGATGGTTGGTTGATGTAAAGCAGAAATGTCGACAGACGGGCACCACCTACTTTTATCAATTTATCGACAGGTTGAAAGCGCTCTTGGTAGCCGCGATGCTAGTCAGTACTTGAACTTTTTGTAAAATTCGAATCAAGATCCGCTTTTTTTAACCCTCAGTAAATTTATCCATTTACAATCTATTATATTATTAGCCTGCAAACGATCCCCATAATCCAAGTAGAATACAACCATCCAATCCAGCAAACATCCAAGGCACTCAATTCGATGCTGCTTCGACCTACGCAATGGATCTTCTTCGGCAACTGGGGCCTACGGCATCTGCGATCTTCCAGCCGATGCAGAACCAACAAACCACTCCCAGTTACCTGCATCCCAACGATTCGACAAACGCACGAGGACCGAGTTCTCAAAGTTCGCAACAACAGAGTGGGAGTTATCGTACCACCGGGGATGGCGGATACCGCATTCCAGAATACGATGAGATCCCCGTTGGGGGATCTCGGCCCCGAAAGTCTTACGACGAGAATGACGATCCGTCGGCGACGGACCGGTTGATTTCGTGTTTGAACAAGTTGTTTAATCGGATGCTCGTCGTTGGCTGTTAATTTTTTACATATGTACAAATGATTCTTCATTTTTAAAACATCAAAAAAAGGGGTAAGAGGTGAGTCCCGATCAAGGAATTTACAAGGAGTTGTTCTGAAGACACCGAGAATAACTCTATTAGCTTGATTATTTATTTTACTGATAACATTTTTGACTGCCGACTCATTACGTTTAGAAGCCCAAATTGAACTACCATACAAAATTCTAGCACGAAGTACACTAATAATCAGGTTCTTGGACTGTTGTAAGCCCAAGCCAAAAGAACACCGAGAAATCCTGTTAAGTTGACCGATTGAACTGATGCCGCATTTTTTGACCTTGTTCAGATGAAGCTTAAACGAAAGTTGAGGGTCCAGAATGATGCCGAGGTATTTGACAGAATCCGATTTGTCCATGCGAATGTCGCCAAAACTGAATGGTCGAATATTGACTTTTTTATGGGTAAAAATCATAAACTTTGCTTTTTTCTTATCAAAAATAGCATTGTTTCTTTTTCCCCAATCCAAGGAGCGATCTCCTTCACTTTCAAGTGATGAGATGGCATGGTCGAGGCGTTTTTCAGCAACAAAGTGAGTAACGTCATCAATGAAACCTAGAGAAAGCTTGTTTTGTTGAAGATTAAGAGGGTTACTGATGAGAAGGGAAGAATTATAAATGATATATAGGATCGGCGAAAGGGGAGAACCTTGAGGAAGGCCACAACTGAGGTTAAAAGAAGGGGATAAGAAACCATCCATGCGAAGGGAAGTTGTCCAATTTGAAAGAATAGATTGAATGATAGAAACCAGGTAAGAAGGGATACTTTTTTTAATTAAGGTATCAATCAACCAATCCTTAATAACTGAAGGGTAAGCTGATTTAACATCGAGGAAAAGGGCTGAAACGATCTTGTTTTCCCTCCATTTTTGACGGATCCAGGAGGATAAAAAAAGGTTAGCATCATCAGTACAACGGTTAGCTCTGCCACCAAAATGGCCATGAGCAATAACATTGTTATTTTCAGCCCAGTAAGTGATCCGTTTCGTCAACAAACTTTCAAAAATTTTCCCTAAACATGATAACAATGCTATTGGCCGATAAGAGCCAGGATTAGCATAAGAATCTTTATCCGCTTTACGAATAATGACTGTGACTGCATGTCTCCATTGTTTAGGAAAATACCCCAAACAGAGACACGCTGAAAAAAGTTTGACAAGAAGAGGTATGATGATCTTTTTACTCCAAATAAGAACTTCGTTAGCAATATCGTCATGACCGCTAGCTTTTTTTTTGGAAGGTTAGAAATGATGTTGTCGATTTCGGGAACGGAGATATCAGGAAAAGAAAAGGGAGTAGAAAAAATAGGAGGAATGACATCCTCCAGATCACAATTGATGGGGACTTCCGAAGTACCTTTAAAAAGGAGGCGAGCTTTTTCCCCTTTATCTGAAGTGAGCTCATTATTCTCATTCAACAAAGGGGCGATATTACCACTGCTAACAGGTTTAGTGAATTTATAAGCTTTGAAAATTTGATGATCTTTACTTTCCGCCAAGAATTTGCGCCAATGATTGCGTTTTAATTCGAAGACCTTCTCCTTGAATGTTTTTTGCCAGAACTGATAGCAGTCGGAAGCTTGAACTGATCGGGCGACCAGCATCCATTTACGAGCTCGATTTCGATTTTGGATGATTGGCGAAAGGATAACTTTATCCCACCAGGCTTTGAATTTCGAGCTGTTGGAGTTGACTGTCTTTTTTTGGCGATCGATGGAATTTTGGAAAGAAATTGTGAGCTCATCAACAAATTTATCAACATCGGAACTACAATTGAGAGGAAAGAAGGTTAATTTTTCTACAGATCTGGATAAGTCAGAACAAAAATGATCAGAATCTACACACTTTAAATCAACAGAAAGTCTAGTAACAGGAATCGGATGAGGATTGAAATTAAGATTGAGAACAATGGCTTGATGATTGGACCCAAAATTATTGGAAGAAGTACAACACGAATCAATAAATTGAAAACAAGAGAAATTTCCCCAGACAAGATCGATGACTGTGGAGCTGGTTCTTCTGTTCATAAAGGTTGGTTTGCCTTTTTCTGAAACAATTTTGAAACCGTGACGACCGCAGGTTCTGATAAGGTCTTTAGATTGTTGATGAGAGTGATTATAATTAGGGGGATTCCAAGAACAATGGTGGAGATTTGAGTCCATGAAAATAAAGGAAGGGATACAACGATCATTATGCTGGTCCAGCCAATCGGTAAGACATTTAATTCCTTCAAAAGATCTTGGGGGATTGTAAAGGTTGATTAAACGAATTTTCTTGACTCTGTTGTTGTTGATGGTCAGGTCGATTGTTGATAGAATCCGATTACCGTCTTTAACAAGGTGAATGTCTTCAGAAGAAAAAGATTTGTCGAGGAAAAAACATGTACGATGTTTGTCGGAGTAACTAGAAGGAGAGTGATTGGAGTTGAGAATACAAGACCAACTTGCGTAATGGGGTAGCTTCAGCGTGTGAGGATTAATCCAGGGTTCTTGAAGGACAAGGATTGAAAAACAAGAATCAGAATTGAGTGCGTTGGTCGTAACATTGAAGGAATTGTGACAGTTGAGTTGTAAAATCTTGAAGGGAGTATTATGTGAGTCGGAAGAAGGTGATAAAGAACCAGAATGAAAATTTTGGGAAGAAGAGTGAGAATACAAAAGGTTGTAACTACTCATTGATTGATAATATTACGACGAAAATTCTTAGTTTTGAGTGGACATTTAAGACTCATAGGTGAATGATTGAAACAAACATTGTCAACATCAGCAACAAAAGAAGGGTTATTTTTTTTCTCATACTGAATACATTTTACACAATTGTTATTACTGACATCAGCTTTGCATTCAATAGAGTTATGTGGATCACCACAATGTTTACAAAGAGGAGTATTTTTACAAAACTGTGCAGTATGACCAACTTCGAGACACTGAAAACATTGAATTGGAGATTTTTTATAATGAGCACCGGTGAGACAAAGCCTGTTAAAGAAAAGGCTACCCTTCTCAATTTTTTTTGCAAGATCCTTCTCACGGAAATTGACAATGATGGAGCCATGGGACTTTTTGTTGGCCTGGGGATTGCCCAACCAACGCGCACTGTGGATATGTTCTGGATGAATATGATTCTCTTTGCACAGATCAGAGAGAGAGGATGGATTGGTGGGAGTGAAGGAGATAGGAACCGAGTGAAGAATAACCGGAAATGTAGAAGGAGGAGTAACTAGAGAAGGATCACACAAGTGTGTCCACTCATGCTTGTGTTCAAGCAACCAGTTGGCAGCGAATCGAGTTTGAGTAAAGAATTTAAAATCCCCAGAAGGAAGGCGGGCTGCTCCTTTAACAGAGATGGGTACGCCATCATCTGTCTTAGCCTCATTATCCTTGAGGACTTCATTCACTTTATCAGTAATTTCTGATACTGACATCTGGAAAAAGGGACGTGAGTCCGGGGTAGTCTTACGAATAACAAAAAAGGCCGACTTGAACTTATTAAGAATTCGGGTGGAAGGGGGAGGGCGAGAGACAATAGAGTGAGGAATCGATTTAGAAGGGACACCCTTTTTTGGACCTGACACCCATGCAGGTGAGGATTTCGAGGATGAGTTGACTACCGTGTTGAGTGATCTCTCAAAGGAGTCTAAACGGATAGTGATCTTCTCTACCAGAGATAGAGTTTGAACGCTAGCTATCTTTTCGATCTCAAAAAGAGGGAGTAATGAGTTAACCTTATCAGGTTGTATGAAGATACTCCCATCGGAGTTCCGATTAGCGAGGATTTCTGCAAACGCTTTGAAGAAACCATTCTCAGGATTATGACGAGAACTGTTGAGAGGAGGATTTTTAGTGAAGTCCGATTGGACAGGGGTTTGAGAACGGTCAACAGCTGACCCGGAGGAATCAATGTCCTCCATCTCTATGTTCTTTGACCAACCTTCCTGGTTGGTCCGAGAACCGTTTTGGCTTTTGGGAGGCATAGGCTGACCCATGCGACCCGAAGCGTAAGGTTGAAACCTTGTTTTTTTGGGGGGATCGGAAAACTCAATCTTAAAGAGGTCGGAGGGGGAAGGGATAAACAGGGAAAGGGGAAGAAGATACGGTGATTACGAGATCAATAGGATGGGATAGGATAAAGAAGATACTTTTTTGGTTTTTTTTTTTTTAGGATTTTGATGTTTGGATGAATGAAAAAGGTGGTCGGTTTTTGGTGGTTGATGATGAGTTTTGTTAATGCCGCTTGTCTCTTCGCCTCCGCGTGCCCATCTGCCCGGGGGTTCCTCGCGGAGAAGGTCGCGCTTCGCGCTCGGCAATGTTCGCTAAGTGAAACGAGGCTAGTGTCATGCCAGTGTCGGCTTCATTTCAAAAGCAACGCCCGGTTGACCCATCGTCTTCGGCATTCAGAGGTCTGTGCGGTCTTGATGGAGACAAGGACATCTTTTTTGAGATGGAGAGATGTGTTACATAATCAGGAGACAGTCCCCCCGAAAGGGGCTCGCCCCGCCGGCTCGGTCTCTATGTAGTCTCTGTCTTATCTGAGCACTACTCACGCTGGGAAAAGACTCAAGCGTCCTTCAACAACTACATTTTTGTATCTTGATACCACAAAACACTTCGGCCGATTCGACCAGGATTTTGCTGATAGCTGGATAACACGAAAAAAAAAAATCCCAGATGGGTCTATTCGCATTTGTCTCATTCTTGGTGGTGTAAGTTCCAAAAATCGAATCCCACTATCACATGAAAAAAAGAGAATATTTGTAAGAACAAAAGAGCTGATAATCCCATTTCTGGTTTACCTTCTGCAAAAAATTATTCAGTACCACGCTGGGCACCCTCTATCCGATCTATCTCTCGTATAAGGCCATCAAAAATAACGACCTCCAATCGCTCGAAATTCTGCTAATGTTTTGGGTCGTCATGGGCACCATTAACGCCATCGAGTATGCCTTTGGATGGTTTCTACATTGGTTCGATCCCCCGCTTTCATTGGTCCGGATTTACATGGCTTGCCTTGATGATTCACAATTCTCATTGGTTGCTATTAGACTGACTATGGCTTCTTATCCGTTCTAACATTTCACAGGATCCCGTTCTTTTATCAATTTAAGAGCGCATTCATCTTATGGCTTACCCTCCCACAAATACAAGTTGAGCCTCAAAGTCCTACCAAAATCTTGAGTCCAGAAGACCTCTCCATCCCTCAACAAAAAACAAAACAAGGAAGCATACTGTGATGATTATGGCTGACAGCTCTCAACCTTCTGTTTTGGCTTTCGTGTTACAGGGATCTACATACGTCTATGTCACCTACATCCATCCATTCTTGCTCGAACACGAAGTCGAGATCGATCGATGGTTGGTTGATGTAAAGCAGAAATGTCGCCAGACGGGCACCACCTACTTTTATCAATTTGTCGACAGGTTGAAAGCGCTCTTGGTAGCCGCAATGCTAGTCAGTACTTGAACTTTTTGTAAAATTCGAATCAAGATCCGCTTTTTTTAACCCTCAGTAAATTTATCCGTTTACAATCTATTATATTATTAGCCTTCAAACGATCCCCATAATCCAAGTAGAATACAACCATCCAATCCAGCAAACATCCAAGGCACTCAATTCGATGCTGCTTCGACATACGCAATGGATCTTCTTCGGCAACTGGGGCCTACGGCATCTGCGATCTTCCAGCCGATGCAGAACCAACAAACCACACCCAGTTACCTGCATCCCAACGATTCGACAAACGCACGAGGACCGAGTTCTCAAAGTTCGCAACAACAGAGTGGGAGTTATCGTACCACCGGGGATGGCGGATACCGCATTCCAGAATACGATGAGATCCCCGTTGGGGGATCTCGGCCCCGAAAGTCTTACGACGAGAATGACGATCCGTCGGCGACGGACCGGTTGATTTCGCGGGAACGGAGCTCAGACTCGCTCCGCACGAGCGGCCCAACGAACCCGAAAGCCGGGCTCTTCTCCTTCCGGACGAGCAACATGAGTGCCAGTGGATACGAGGAGATCGGGCGAGACGAGGCCTCGGGGAGCGAGAACGAATGGCTGGCCAGGAAACCCTCGCCCGCCGGCTCCGCTTCTTCCGCCTCCATCCTCAATCCTACTCGGCCTAGATTGAGCGATGGCAGTCAGAGCCAACCTCCTAAATCCTTCGATCATCCTTCTAAAAGGAGCCTCAGTGGGACCTCTTCTAGATGGTTTAATTGGAGCAATAAAACTTCAACCGATCTCGATGAATCTCCTAAAACGAAGTGATCTATCACTCTGGTTGGTCTCTTTTGTATCCTTACACTTGCGTCATAGATATCCCCCTATCTCAATTTGACACCCCAAATCCTCCCCCTTTTTTTGGTCTCTGCAGATTTCTCAACTCGCATTTTTATAATAGTTTGTTCTTTTTTTCGTTTTTTAAGGACAGGTTTAGTTTATATGTCTTGTATTTTGTTTTGTTCCATTGAGTCGATTTCCTTTTGTTACTGTTGTTGTTGTATCCTTTTAAGTCTACTTGACATTGCATTTGATTGTTCGATACTACTAGGCTGGGTGTTAACTTTCTATTGGTTTCTCCTATTTTTTTCTTCTTCTTCTGGAGTCTATCTAGATATCACCCTGTAACCTTTTTTCTTCCACCTTTCTGAATCAGTGTCTTGTTGTTCTTCATCTTTGGTTAAAACTGAACCTAAGATCTATCTATCGACACAACAATTCTAGGAACTATTTAGATTGCCTTTCAACAGCTGATATGTTCAACTGGCAATACATAGACAAAAAAAATCTGCAGCTTCCCCCCCCCCTGCGTTATCCATCCCTTCCTTACTATGATCACCCTAACATCTCTCCACCAAATTGTAACGAAAAGTAAGTAATAACATGCCCAAGGTCAACTAAGTTCGGAGTATCCCGGGGTGTGAGGACACAAGGAACACATCAGGATATCTGGAGGTCGAGATCATCTTTCCAGTTTGTAACAACGAGCCCTGAGATTCGATCACATGCCGCTGATAGTTAAAACCGTGCTTGGCTGGACTTGGTTGGGCAGATGTTTATTTTCAAGATTCACAGTTTTGCAAATTAAATTCTGAGACGAGTGAGGAATTTCCTGGGTTACAAAGACGCTTTTAAAGAAACTTCAGTCGGACTGGCCCTCAACACACTTCAACATCATAATATCCATCTCCGCACCCCAATCGATATCCTCATTTGATTCAAGATGGCCGGTTCGAAAGAGACTCAACGGATCGAAGAGTCTTTAGAACTACAGGAGATCGATCAGGATATCTTCAAATCGATCAAGGTGTGTATGTATCCACAGCTCCAAATCTAGCCAAGATTCCAGTCAGAGCATTTGTTGACCATCTCATTCTCTTTCTCAGCTCTGGAAGTTCACTCGTGGTGTGGGCGCTTTCGGGGGCAACATCATTGCGCAAGCTGCTCATGCTGCCACCAAGACTGTCCAGGTCGGATATCATCTCCACTCTCTTCACGTAAGTCTTCAGGAACACCTCAGACTTCATATCCATCTAGCTTCTAAAAGGCGACGCTCTTGAAAATCTTAATGTTTTGTTTTGTGGGGGCGGGAAAGTAGTGTTATTTTATAAGTTTTGGGGATGTGGACATCCCGACGGGAATCATCTACCTAGTGGAGCGGATCCGGGATGGGCGATCGTATGCGACCCGAGCGGTGAAAGCGATCCAAAGGTCACGCTGCATCTTCAGCCTGATGATCTCGTTCCACAAGCCGGAAGCCAACCAACGAGTCTTGGCGACCAGGATCGATCTGGCGGCTATCAGCCCGCCCGAGGACTGTCAGCCCGTCGAAACCAGACTCCAGATCTACGTCGACGAGAATAAGGCCTCCTTCAAACCGAAAATGCTCGAGTATCTCGAGCGCGAAATCGAGGAAAACGCCTTGAATGCTATCGAACATCGCAACACTCGCTCCAAGAAATTCGATCCTTCAGCTGATTACGAAACTTCGTCTGCTTTTTCCTTCTGCTTTGACTCGTATACATAGTGCTCCTGACTCTTAATCTAAACTCTGAACTTTTGCTCTGTTTGATTTTAGTGAATCCTATGGGT